TTTCATCGTTCCAGATCTTCTGGAAGTCACTGTTTTTCTTTTTTTGTAAAACCCATAAGAAATGCAACAAATAAAAAATAAACTCATTAGCAGGAAACATTTCTAAAATTCGATTTTATATTTTTAAAGTTAGTTTTTCCTGAACAATTGCAGTCAGAAACACATTCTACTTCAAGGTGGCATTTCTTGAGCTCCATATGGATTGTACGTGATTGTTATATTTTTAACAACCTGGTAAAATCAGTTACCAAGTCAGTTGGACATGAATTGTCTCATTCAATCCACTAACAATACTTGTCACATGAGAAATTAATTCAGTGAGATTATATCCTCCATGCCAGCAGTTATTGTTTTAGACCCCAGGATTCTTGCCAAAGCTTATTTCCATAAAGTTTCTCAGTATATTAAGTACCCTTCCAAATTTCCAAAATGGAAAAATGTCAAACCTATTTTTAATGTTCATCTGTCAATCACAGCCGAGTATAATAACCTCAGCGTCATCATTCTCTAATTAATTTCAAAGGTGCATTTAAATTATGTTATGTGATCCTACTGACGTAATGTGATATACTTTCTTGAAGGAATGACTGTGTACACCAATCAGCTGTCTCGGTCGTAGGACCACTTCCGTCATTTACAACTCAACTCATAATTAATTATTTCATTGTGTTTATTTTGTTTGTTTATTTGTTGTTTAACGCCGCACTCAGCAATATTCCAGCTATATGACGGCGGTATGTAAATAATCGAGTCTGGTCTAGACAATCCAGTGATTAATATCATGAGCATCCATCCACGCAATTGGGACCGATGACATGTATCAACCACCCGACCGCACCGATCCCGTTAGTCGCCTCTTACGACAAGCAAAGTCGCCTTTTATGGCAAGCATGGGTTGCTGAAGACCTTTTCTACCCCGAATCTTCACGGGTCTATTTCATTGTGAAAATATATTATAAAATACATAATTGAAATATTTAAATACAAGAACTCATTTAATACCAAAATGTACCCTCCGTTCAACGTGGAATCTGATGCAAGGCCTTATACAATCAAACCTCGTAAATCCAGACCTTACTGCTCAGTGAACATTTCTGTCTATGTAAATCCAAATACAGTGAAACCCCGGTAATCTGGACGTTATCTTTCTATAAGTAATCGTCGGCGACAGACCCGACAATACTCCTTGACGGTGGGTTTCCGGCTGACGAAGTTTCAGCGGCGATCGAGGGCGAGAATAATTGTTACAAAAACATGCATCCATTCTTAATAAATAAATATATACATACACCAGTTATTATAGGTAAAACACCTGGTTTAACTGGGGCATATATAGGCCTGCTACACACATCATACATACACCAGTTGTTATGGGTAAAACACCTCGTTTAACTAGGGCATGTATTGGCCTGCTATTCAGGTCACGACCGCCTCCGTGGTCAAGTGGTAGAGCGTCCGCCCGGAGAGCGGAAGGTCCGGTGTTCGATCCCCGGCCGCGTCATACCAAAAGACGTTAAAAGATGGTACTTGTTGTTACCCTGTCTGGCGCTCGGCATTAGGGGACTTCTTAGTAACGCCTAGCAGATCATGGACAACATATGTATCTGAGACACAGTTGTTTAGTTACCGTCCTACCCTACTGTAAAATAGGGTTTTAACAAAATGATCTGCTTTACACCTACAGAGTCTACCGAGATAGGCGAGTTTGAGTAGTCGGATCAGTTGGGGATCGTTTGTGAAAGTTCTGAATTGATCTGGCAAAGTAGCGTTGCAGTAGTTCTAATTCACGGAGTTCTTTTGATGATATGTTTGTCCATAGTTCACAAGCATGAGTTATAATGTGTGTATATGTATATATAATGTATTTTTTGTTTGCAAGTTGACCCAAATGAAAATGCCTTTGATACAATGCAAGTGCAATAGCCTATTCACTTCCTGATGAAAACAAGCAAAGAATCAATAACTATTTACAAAGAACATGTGGTTGGGGCGTGACTTCCCAGATAACAATACAAACTAACACGTCGACCACTGTGCCGCGTGTAATCTGATATGTCCATTAGTCAATAACCTCCGGAAAACCAATCAGCGGACCTCACACCAATTCACAACATAAAAGTTAAACAATTAAATTAGCATTTCGTCTGCAAATGTGCATATTTTACTTGTAAGGTGATCGTATAATCGGCATATATATACCAGAAACCCTCTCTCTACATTATATTGTCACCACCAAAAGAGACGCGAATACAATACAGTTTGGTTAATATTTGAAGAATTGCTCATATTCAAGAGATGTAAGATTAGATGCACAAACAAACATTCTGTTATGCTGTGTGAACCGACGCGTATGATGGCATCACGTGTGAGGTCATAGATCTATTTGTCTCGTGCAGGATTAGCGTGTAAACTTTGGAAATCCTTGCAGCATATTGTGTTAAGAAAAAGTCACTCTGTCGTAACACGTGACTGATTGTAAGTTCTGTCATTAAGTGGTACACATTGGAAACATCTCTTCTTAACGTACATACTTCTCTATATGTTTCTATGGTACGCGTTTCTTTTTGCGGTGAGTATATAAATGCATACTGTGGGGCGACGGGTGGACCAGAGGTCAAGGTCACTATTATTGTGGAGAGGTGGTCCTATAGCAAGGCTCCAAGTGATTCTTGTTTCGAATGTGGAATTCGGATTGTAATCCGTGAGTGTCCGCAGCACACCGTGTCCGTGGTTAAACCTGGCTTTACCCCCTCGTTGATATGACAGAACTGTTGTTAAAACTCCAAGTCTATATAACATTATAATGACATAACTGATCGTTAATCCGGACTTTCGTTAATTCGAACATTTATAAATACGGACATTTCTGAATAAGGACATTTGTTAATCCGGACGATTTCCCTGGTAATGGTAAAATCCGGCTTTACGCGCCACGTGTTCATCCTTCATGGAAGGAAATTTCGCAAACCAAATCCTGCTTACAATCATACCTTACGGAAATGTTGACAAATAACCACATCGGTTTTCTGAAAATAAACCTGGTTGGTTAAAACTGCCCTTCCTGATTGGGTTATCTGTCAACCATGATCATGCATTGTAAACTTTGTGACAACAGGCAGTGGAAGGAATCATGTGGCCATTGGATGTTTGTATTAACTGCCGAGTTACATCTGGGATCAGACCAAAAATTACAAAACGTTTACCAGGCGGAAAACAGTCGCCGAAGCACTGCAAACTTACTGTCCAAAACACAACTACGATACCCTTAGGAATACATCATCATCATCGAATAACCATTTCTAATTTGTTTCATTTTTAGCCACCATCATAAACAGGGGTGTATACTTTCTTTTGACTGGCAGTTTGTTTTTGTGTGTGGATTTTAGCTGGCAACTCGAATCAGATCTCCCTCCATTACACAAACACAGATACGCTGACATCCGCACATGATTACATGTACACGACTGGAGTAATGTCGCATTGTCAACAGACGTCCGCGTCGCCCAGGGGTGTAGTTCCCGGACTAACGACGTCGCAGACCACGGAGTTTCGTGAGACAGGTTCAATTCACTTTTGCATATATCGGAAAGTAGCGAATGATATTGACTATGGAGGATGTAAGAACTTGATGTAATGTGTAATCTCAACGATGTAGGCCATAAGAGGAGACAACCTACGGCATAGTTAAAATGTAATCAATCCGGATATTTCGACCGTAACGAGCCCAAATAGAGTTTGTGATACCTGCATTGTTGAAACAGGGAAATTTGTAACATAAATTCAAAAGAACCTGTAAGCATCCTTCCGAATAAAAAGATGAAGCAGGCTAGCTCCGTCATGCTTGAATACCGTGTTCGGTTCTGATGTTAACTGTGAACACGAAGTGACAAAACCACAACACTAGTTCACATGATGCAAGTATTGACACTGCAGTACTAGGTGCGGGGCAAGGGCGGTCCCAACAAGTTGGATGCAACTCATTCAGAAAGGTTTTTGTTGTTTGCAATTTTAAATTGTATTACATATATTACACACAAGAAGTAACGGACCACCCGACCTTTTCGTATGTTAGTTATCTGAAGTCCTATGAACAAATCGGGTGTTCTTTAACTACTTTAACTTTAACTTCTTTTGAGTAGTATTTGTCAATCTAGCAGTTAACGGCGGAACCTAAGAAAGACAATGTGTCAGTTTCACATGGGCCACACTATTTACCAAGCCCATTCTTTAAGACTCATATGAATATAACAAAGTCGGATATACGATACAATCAACCAAACTCCTAGAATTGTTACAGCTGTTATTGTTTTCGGGAAACATAAAATTAGAACATATTTACCTAATTTTTAAGATCGATTTCGTTATAGGAAGTTTTTTTTATATGCAGATTTTTCTGAAAACAAATAATAATATCAAGTCCTTATCAAGAATATATACGTGGAATATTCGAGACAAATGCAGCGCCGATAGTGGACCATATGTCGAGTTCGAGTAAATGATTATTCACTGCATTGCCCTGTTAAAGTATTCACTCTATTCACTCTATTCACTCTATGTATTCTCAGTGTTCTCAGTTCATCCAAACAGCGTCACTGAACATTCGCACAATTTTACATTCATCAGTTATGATTCAAAGCGTCGAAGCTCGAAACGTCACAGTTCTCCGACAGGGACCTAATGCTCGCAACGTCACAGTTCACCCACAGGGACTTGATGCTCGCAACGTCACAGTTCACCCACAGGGACTTGATGCTCGCAACGTCACAGTTCACCTACAGAGATCTAATGCTCGCAACGTCACAGTTCACCTACAGGGACTTGATGCTCGCAATGTCACAGTTCTCCCACTGGGACTTGATGCTCGCAACGTCACAGTTCTCCCACTGGGACTTGATGCTCGCAATGTCACACTTCACCCACAGGTCCTTGATGCTCGCAACGTCACAGTTCTCCCACAGGGACTTGATGCTCGCAACGTCACAGTTCACCCACAGGTACTTGATGCTCGCAATGTCACAGTTCACCCACAGGGACTTGATGCTCGCAACGTCACAGTTCTCCCACAGGGACTTGATGCTCGCAACGTCACAGTTCTCACACTCGGACTTAATGCTCGCAACGTCACAGTTCTCGCACAGGGACTTGATGCTCGCAACGTCACAGTTCTCCCACAGGGACTTGATGCTCGCAACGTCACAGTTCTCACACAGGGACTTGATATATGACCACTGTAGCGTGTTTGTATTTTCACTACATCAACCATATCAAACGTTCCCTCTTACAATTCGCAAGCCCAATTAATCCGGACGGTGTTTGTCCCATTTAAAACTGTCCACATTAACAAAAGTACCCGATTAGCGAGGTTGTGTACTGAGTATTGTCCCCTTGAATTCATATATATTTATATATATTTAAATCTGTATATGTTATTGCCAGTAATCATCCCGAGAAGTATCGGGTCTGTCTGTCTGTCTGTCTGTCAACTGTGACGTTGCGAGCATTAGATCCATGAGGGAGAACTGTGACGTTGCGAGCTTAAAGTGTCTGTCTGTCTGTCCACTGATGGTCTGTAATCATTGATGCAATATGTCATATCGTAATCATTTATTGTTAAACGATCGTCATATTTAACTTCAAACTGTACATATGTGCTATTACTGACTCTGGACACCTTTACGTCGTATGAATGAATGCCTGATAATGAGAGTATTACATTACAACACAGAAGTAACGTAATGAACTTACAACACCGGCACAGTCATAGCTGTATGCCGCCAGACTGACCGTCACAGGAAAGTAAGTGTTCCGTTCCACAAAAATATGACGTGTGAATTTCAGGGAACTTGGTGTATCAATGATCACTCGTGCGAATTAAATATAATATTTATATGATAACGCAAATGAACCTCGTTTATCCAGAAATACGTCCGGATTAACCAGTATCCGTATTATAAGGTGATTTTTTTCGATTGTTATTCTTCATCACGTAAAGTTTTCTGGTATCGATGTCCGTTTTAACGAGGTCCCACAGTACCATAACCCTAGTTGGTGTTGACGTTCAGAGAGCTGAAAACATACATGTACACGGATACTGATCCGAGTTATGGTGAATACCTCATATATACTTGTAGTCATAGCTCCTGAACAGTGTAGGAATGTTCGTCGGCGAGGGGAGGGATAGGAGAGGAATAGGAGAGGAATAGGGATGGAATAGGGGTGGAATAGGGTTTTAACAGTGTTGGAATAGGGGTGATCGTAGAGATGAAATTGTTAGTATTATTGCCCCGCTGACATACTATCTACAACGAGAGAGCACTGTGCAGGGGTATATTCAAAAATAACTTTCGTCATTACAGAACCTGGCCTTTATTTAGACTCAGGTACACACACATTCGTCAATTTACTAACTTTTCGAATGTCCGTAATAAATTAAAAAGATATGTTGGTTAAACCAGGCTGGGCTTATTTGGGTATTTGTTACTCTTCCGTGTTATTATGGGGAATACCGCGAGGCTGTCCTGATTATAAAGGGGTACACGGCTAAGAACGCTTAGTATTCTGACAGCCAGAAAATGTATCTGCTTACCGCTCATCAAGCACGTAATCTTCTATACACGGTGTTTACAACGGGTAAGACATTATTAAGACCGAGTACACATGACGATTCTCACTGCACCTGTATTTAACTCTCCCGTTGTTATGAAGATATCACACAGTTCGCATGTGTAATAAAAAAGAGTTATCGATGAATAATATATCACATTATTTTTCAGCTGTGATAGTATTACTGTGCGTCCCGGCGTATGGTCAGTCAGAACCGAACAGCCCTATTGACACATGCGGCCTGATTCAGAAACCTCGTCGTGGACAACCTGTCGTAGCTAGAGATGCTTCTGACGCTCACAAACAGTTTGTACGGAAATTGAAGGGCTTCACCAAAACTGCCAAAAAGCTGCGAAAATCCGTTGTAAGTGCATTTGACTTCTTAAAAACTGTATCAATTTACGCTATACCGTCGACAGCATAGCTTTAACTGAGTTGAGCAATCTAGATATCTCTGAGTGATATTTTACTCAATGATAACTTTAACAAATACAGTTTTGAATTGTATCCCTTCAGGAGAAGACTTGGGACATTCCGCGAAGCCTCCTGAGGGAATATCGCAATCAAGGCATCACAGATCTTCATCCCAGGGAAGGAAGACGTCTTCGAATGCCAAAAAACAAGAGGGTATGTAAATGGTACCTTTCAATCTGATTAGTTTCGTTGAAGTCAGTATGCCCTTGGTATGCTGTGTCTGAGGTGGGTATCCATGTTAGATCCGGTATCCCTCTTAGTGGGCTAACAATGTAAGCCGGCATTAGTTCGGACACACACACACACACACACACACACACACACACACACACACACACACACACACACACACACACACACACACACACACACACACACACACACACACACAACGTCGCAATTTAGGTGCACTTATCTTGAGCGCGTCGTAAACCCCATTACATCTAACGTCACCGCATCCTGGGTGAGTTAGGGGCAAGAACTATAGGTATTGGTTGGTTCCAATGCGTGAAGTTGCTGATGATGGCCAGGGTAGATGATTTACAACTCGCAGTAATAAGGGTGGAGTATTGCTGATTGAAGCGTGCACTCACTCACTCAATTACTCAACTGATGATGGTTATTATACAGATCATGTTTGTACATATGGTCAGGCTCGCTGACTTGGTTGATGCATGTCATCATACCCCAAATGCGTGGATTGATGCTCATGATGTCAATCACTGGATTGTTTGGTCCAGACTCGATTACTTACAGACCGCCCTAATATAGCTGTAATATTGCTGAGTGCGGTGTTAAACAACAAATAAACAAACAGACAAAAAGGAATGTTAGAGCGCCCACTGACGATACTACAACCATTGTTGTTGCGCAGGTACAACCACTGTTCGATGCGGCGTGGTGGCTGACGTCTATGCAGAAAGCGGCTCACGAACTGTATCAGATGAAGATCATTTCTGGAAAGTTTACCAAAGAGCTTGCGACTCTGTCCAACGACCTCTACGGCACCCTCTTAGTCATGAACATCCGCATCAGAAGACCAAGGGCACTCTGCCTCCGGGAACAAACAATTGACTTCCCTCTAAAGCAACGAGATGTTACAAAGGAAAGTCGGTATGCATACATTGTCCTACGGGACATTGAACGAGGAGTGAAACGGATGGCAAAGATATTGAGGAAATGTAAGGTTTCTGTTTCCAATAAGAAGTCCCGACTCAGGTGTAGAAAAGTGAAGTCTATATTCTACTCGAAAAAATCGAAAACGGTTCTTGGAACATGGCAAGACATTTTTACATGAAATGGACGGTGACATGATGCAAGACATGTTTGCTGTTGTGGATGATATTGACTTGTGAGAATTGTTTGTTGGTAGTCACTCCCCAATTTCAAAGACGAAAGATAAGGCAGTATTCTGATATGACAGTATTCCTCAGATCAACGTATCTTGGCAATGCAATGCAATGTGTAGTTTGTTGACTTCGGGGGAACAATGATGACTCATTGGCACTGAACGTCCAGATTAAGTTTAAACTGCTATTTTAAAATGGCTATTATTAAAATCATGTGTATAAGATATGCTTGAATGCGTGTACATCTGTATGTCCATGTGTGTGTGTGTGTGTGTGTGTGCGTGCGCGTGTACAGGTCCGCGTGTCCATATCTGAGAGCATGACCATGTGTGTGTGTGTGTGTGTGTGTGTGTGTGTGTGTGTGTGTGAGCAATTCTAGTTTGAGAAAAAACACATTATTTATACAAGAAGATTTTTGTGTGTACGCTTTAACTTATTTTTACGTGACAATCATCTGGCATTGTACATACATATAGTATTTATTGCTGAACTTGAAATGTTGCTGTTTTATCAGTAATCCGTCATTTTAAACGAGATCGCATTTCCATGTCAAGCTTTGCTCATATCGGCGCCAAGGCATGCTGTCTAAATAAGGGGCTAAATAAATGAAGAACAGGACAAAGCGTATAGGAAAGGTGTCTATACCCATTGAATAGATGCATTCTTTGTCGATTGGTAAAATACAAAATTAAATTTATGGATCTTTGAAGAGTGTTGAACTGTTTTGGAGCCCAACTGATAGTAAAATGTACAACTAAAAAGAAGCATGGTATGACATTAACTGTCGTAATATGAAAGAATCGGGGGTCCTTAACATTTTTAGTAGTATATTTGGGACCTGTCCATTTCCATTCCAGCATTCAGTATTTCAACAAACGCCGGTAACAATTCTTTTTTATTGGTTTTATTGAACACTGTATATGAAGCTGAAATAGGCAAATCAAACTATACATACCCTAGTAAAATATGGGTTGAACTTCAATTATTCGAAGTCACTGTAGTTGACATAAAATGCCTTATGTATGATGTATAGTTCTCTGATGCATTTATGCTGATCCGGGTGGTTTCTATGAACAAATGTGAAACTCTATTTATTAGCCAAAGACAAGCTATATGTTTTATATGACTATTCTATCACTGTGTTTTTATTTGTTATTTGTTATTTACATGTTATTTACATGTGTTTATGTCACAGAATCTTGCTTGGATGTTTTGTCGTGTATCCAACGTGACATGTTGTCTAAAATGACCGTGACAAGACTGAATATATCCTTCATGAAGAATAGGTATGATTTTCTTCTCGTCCGAGAAACGCCAGCTAACACGTACCTTAAAGAATGTGAATTCATACACACCACTGCCGGATGTTGCCCTTTAACAAAACAAACAAAATCTCATGTCTTGTGCATGCATTTTGTTTTTAATAATAAAATTATTCATTTTTTAATGATTCAGTGTCATGTCATTTACATCCATTGAATGTATTTTTATCCGATATATTAAATTTATGCATTTATAAACCTTCAGTCGTTATCTTGTTTGTTTGTAATCAGTATTAATACAAACTGTTCCTTATTCGTGCAAAATGTTAAAAAAGAAAAACAAAACAGCCGATGCAGGCTAAGAATAGAAGGTAAAGGAACGGAAACGCTTTCTGAAACTGATCAGTGAAAATTTGGGAATACGAAACAAGTTTCTATTGTTAGCAGTGAGAAATATCCCCACGTAATGCCCAGTGCTACCCGTAATGCCCTGTCCTACCCGTGGTACACCGGTTATCGTGACCTTACTCATTTCAAAAATAGCACTAGCCCTGAACCCGCATATGACACATATACCTAAAATAATCAATGAGAAATTTCATAACCGTCTTTCAATGGCGACCTGTGACTAGGCCCCATCCCTCATCGAGGTTGTGGCGGGAAGTGACAAGTTGAACAGTTTGTCCTGTCTCCTTTCCGTTGTCTATAAATACCACCAGGTAATTACTGTTGGTGTTATTTGGGGAATCATTGAATAAAGTACATGTATTGATCCTTTGAGGGTGTTAACAGTTTTACCAATCTTTGATAACTATTCGTGTGACTGCGATAAGAAATCACACGTTTAAGCATGGATCATACATACATACATACATACATACATACATACATACATACATACATACATACATACATACATACATACCTTGCTGCTTGTATAGGTCAGTATATCCATGAAATAACGCCCAAAGGTCAATGTAATATACATGAAAACAGCATCCTGTCACGTATACTGGTTTCGGGCAACGGGATGCCCCAGAAATATCAACGTATGAATGACCATACCAAATGGTAGGAATGCGGAAGTATGCGCATGCGCTGTGCCACTATCAGGGTATGTGCGCCCAGTCATGGTGACCTCTCACCTTTTCAAACCGGCTGAGACTAAAACCTCTCAAGACTAGACATGAGTAGAACGCATTGAAGACCAGATACATCACCGTCTATTGTCATGTCAAAGTATTTTGCAGTATTTAATACGTAATTACGTTAGGAAACAGTTCGTCAAACGTTTCATGTAACGAGTATGGGTTGGCCGAGATCAATGTGTATTTTGTGCTACACTCTTATTCTCGTGCACAGTTCAATCACTTGGGAAGAAGCAACTCACGAAATTTGTCACCGGAGTGCATAAGATGATTATCCATTTTTCTTTAATAGTTGGGCCTGTTGGTGAACGCGTTCGGTCGGCACTCCGTAGCCATGCGTAACCAAAACGACGAATATCTGAAACAGATTCCAAAAAGGATAAAATGTAAAATAGTCATACAAATTTGCGATGACGCCAGGTGTTCGTGAAAATGGTAAGCATACCCGGCTCTGCCGGAAGCACCAGAAACTCACAATTTGCATAAACATGTAAGTGTTTGTTCGTTGCCTAGCGCCGCACCCAGCAAAACACCTGCGAACAACCAGGTGGCACACAATAGCCAGGTAACGAACGATAGCCAGGTGACACACAATAGCCAGGTGACACACAACAGCCAGGTGTCACACAATAGCCAGGTGACACACAATTGCCAGATGATACACAATTACCAGGTCACACACAATAATCAGGTGACACACAACAGCCAGGTGACACACAATAAGAAGGTCATTTACAATAGCCAGATCACACACAATAACCAGGTGACACACAATAAGAAGGTCACTTACAATAGCCAGGAGACACACAATAGCCAGGTGACACACAATAGACAGGTGACACACAACAGTCTGGTCACACAATAGCCAGGTGACACACAATAGCCAGGTGACACACAATAGCCAGGTGACACACAATAAGAAGCTTAAGGTCACTTACAATAGCCAGGTGACACACAATAGCTAGCTGACACACAATAGCCAGGTGACACACAATAAGAAGGTCAATTACAATAGCCAGGTGTCACACAATAGCCAGGTGACACACAATAGCCAGGTATCACACAATAGCCGGGTGACACACAATAGCCAGGTGTCACACAATAGCCAGGTGTCACACAATAGCCAGGTGACACACAATAGCCAGGTAACACACAATAGCCAGGTGACACACAACAGCCAGGTCACACAATAGCCAGGTGACACACAATAGCCAGGTGACTCACAATAGCCAGGTCACACGCAATAGCCAGATAGCAAGAAATAGCCAGGTGGCACACAATAGCCAGGTAACACACAATAGCTAGGTCACACAATAGCAAGGTCACACACAATAGCCAGGTCACTTACAATAGCCAGGTGACACACAATAGCAAGGTGTCACACAACAGCCAGATCACACAATAGCCAGGTGACACACAATAGCCAGGTGACACACAATAGCCAGGTCACACGAAATAGCCAGATAGCAAGAAATAGCCAGGTGGCACACAATAGCCAGGTAACACACAATAGCTAGGTCACACAATAGCAAGGTCACACACAATAGCCAGGTCACTTACAATAGCCAGGTGACACACAATAGCAAGGTGTCACACAATAGCCAGGTGTCACACAATAGCCAGATGACACACACTAGCCAGGTGACACACAATAGCCAGGTGACACACAATAGCCAGGTCACACGCAATAGCCAGATAGCAAGAATAGCCAGGTGGCACACAATAGCCAGGTAACACACAATCGCTAGGTCGCACAATAGCAAGGTCACACACAATAGCAAGGTCACACACAAGAGCCAGGTGACACACAACAGCCAGGTGTCACACAATAGCCAGGTGTCACACAATAGCCAGGTGACGTACAATAGCCAGGTGACACACAATAGCCAGGTGACACACAATAGCCAGGTCACGAACAACAGCCAGGTGTCACACAATAGCCAGGTGTCACACAATAGCCAGGTGTCACACAATAGCCAGGTGACACACAATAGCCAGGTCACGAACAAAAGCCAGGTGTCAAACAATAGCCAGGTGTGAGACAATAGCCAGGTGTCACACAATAGCCAGGTGTCACACAATAGCCAGGTCACGAACAAAAGCCAGGTGTCAGACAATAGCCAGGTGACACACAATAGCCAGGTCACGAACAATAGCCAGGTGTCACACAATAGCCAGGTGTGAGACAATAGCCAGGTGTCACACAATAGCCAGGTGTCACACAATAGCCAGGTTACACACAATTGCCAGATGACACACAATTACCAGGTCACACACAATAACCCGGCCACACACAATAGGCAGGTCACACGAGATTGCCAGATGACACACAAAAGCAAGGTGACACACAATTGCCAGATGGCACACAAAAGCCAGGTGACACACAATTGCCAGATGACACACAATAGCCAGGTGACACACAATAACCAGGTCACACACAATAACCAGGTGGCACACAATTGCCAGATGACACACAAAAGCCAGGTGACACACAATAGCCAGGTGTCACACAATAACCAGGTGACACACAACAGCCAGGTGACACACAATTGCCAGGTGACACACAATAGCCAGGTGACACACAATTGCCAGATGACACACAATTACCAGATGATACACAATAGCCAGGTGACACACAATCGCCAGAAGACACACAATAGCCAGGTGACACACAATAGCCAGGTTACACGCAATAGCCAGATAGCAAGAAATAGCCAGGTGGCACACAATAGCCAGATGACACACAATAACCATGTCACACACAATAACCAGGTGGCACACAATGGCCAGGTCACACGCAATAGCCAGATGGCACACAATAGCCAGGTGACACACAACAGCCAGGTGTCACACAATAGCCAGGTGTCACACAATAGCCAGGTGACACACAATAACCAGGTCACTTACAACAGCCAGGTGACACACAATAGCCTGGTCACGAACAATAGCCAGGTCACACGCAATAGCCAGATGGCACACAATAGCCAGGTCACACACAATAACCAGGTCACAAACAACAGCCAGGTCACACACAATAACCAGGTCACTTACAACAGCCAGGTGACACACAATAGCCTGGTCACGAACAATAGCCAGGTGACACACAATAGCCTGGTCACGAACAATAGCCAGGTCACACGCAATAGCCAGATGGCACACAAAAGCCAGGTCACACACAATAACCAGGTCACAAACAACAGCCAGGTGACACACAATAACCAGGTCACTTACAACAGCCAGGTGACACACAATAGCCTGGTCACGAACAATAGCCAGATGGCACACAATAGCCAGGTGACACACAATAGCCAGGTGTCACACAATAACCAGGTGACACACAACAGCCAGGTGTCACACAATAGCCAGGTGACACACAATAACCAGGTCACTTACAACAGCCAGGTGACACACAATAGCCTGGTCACGAACAATAGCCAGGTCACACGCAATAGCCAGATGGCACACAATAGCCAGGTCACACACAATAACCAGGTCACAAACAACAGCCAGGTCACACACAATAACCAGGTCACTTACAACAGCCAGGTCACACACAATAGCCTGGTCACGAACAATAGCCAGGTGACACACAATAGCCTGGTCACGAACAATAGCCAGGTCACACGCAATAGCCAGATGGCACACAAAAGCCAGGTCACACACAATAACCAGGTCACAAACAACAGCCAGGTGACACACAATAACCAGGTCACTTACAACAGCCAGGTGACACACAATAGCCTGGTCACGAACAATAGCCAGATGGCACACAATAGCCAGGTGACACACAATAGCCAGGTGTCACACAATAACCAGGTGACACACAACAGCCAGGTGACACACAAAAGCCAGGTGACACACAATTGCCAGATGACACACATTAGCCAGGTGACAGAAAATTGCCAGATGACACACAATAGCCAGGTGACACACAATAACCAGGTGACACACAATAGCCAGGTCACACACAAAAGCCAGGTGACACACAATTGCCAGATGACACACAATAGCCAGGTGACAGAAAATTGCCAGATGACACATAATAGCCAGGTGACACACAATAACCAGGTGACACACAATAGCCAGGTCGCTTACAACAGCCAGGTCACACACAATAGCCTGTTCAAGAACAATAACCAGGCCATACACAATAGCCAGGTGACACACAATTACCAGGTCATAAAAAAAGCCAGGTGACAGACAATAACCAGGTCACTTACAACAGCCAGGTCACACACAAAAGCCTGGTCAAGAACAATAGCCCGGTCACACACAATAGACAGATGGCACACAATAGCCAGGTGACACACAATAGCCAGGTGTCACACAATAACCAGGTGACACACAACAGCCAGGTGACACAATTGCAAGATGACACACAGTAGCCAGTTGACACAAAATAACCAGGTGACACACAATAGCCAGGTCACACGCAATAGCCAGGTGGCACACAATAGCCAGGTCACACACAATAACCAGGTCACACACAATAGCCAGGTCACACATAAAAACCTGGTCACTTACAATAGCCAGGTGACACACAATAGCCAGGTATCACACATTAGCCAGGTGCCACACAATAGCCAGGTGTCACATATTAGCCAGGTGTCACACAATAACCAGGTGACACACAATAGCCAGGCAACACACAATAGCCAGGTGACACACAATAGCCAGGTCACAAACAATAGCCAGGTGACACACAACAGCCAGGGCACTTACAATAGCCAGGTGACACACAATAGCAAGGTGTCACACAATAGCCAGGTGTCACACAATAGCTAGATGACACACAATAGCCAGGTGACACACAATAGCCAGGTATCACACAATAGCCAGGTGACACACAATAGCCAGGTCACGAACAATAGCCAGGTGTCACACAATAGCCAGGTGACACACAATAAGGTCACACA